TTTCACTATGTTGTGTATCCTAATCCACCTATCCCCTTCACTGTCATTGTTGTTGCGTTGGCACCATGCTTGTTTTCAAGCCGGTGGTAAATATATATATATATATATATATTCGTTCTGCTAAAGCTTGTTTGCGATTTCCAGTCTGCATCCATAATTAACTGATAGGACTTAAGTTGATTAGAGCAAATGCTTCCAAAGTGCTGGATAAGTTAACTCATACTGTTCTCAAAACAAATTAATCCTATCGTCTTTATGTAACTACTTTACCCCAGTGCATTTGATCGCACAGATTGTGTTTCTCCGCCGTCGCTCAGTAATGTTCCATATTTCGGATTTTTTTGGATTGTACACACAGTTGTGACGTGAAGTAAGAAATGTGAAAACGGGAGTCTGCTGTTGGGCAACAAACAATCAAGTTCACTTCATTGTGTTCCGCTGTACGATACTGATGATGATGTTGACTGCTCCGTTGTGAGGCCGGGAACATGAAACGTAGAACTTGTGATGTAGTACGACACAGACGCCTGTTCTATCGAGTTGTGTGATATTGAATCTATCCAGCGTCAAACGACAGAGCTCAATGGCGTAAACCACTGGACCGCCGTAATCTTAGGTTCAATCTCTGTTCACCTTACATATTACCACTAACTTTGTATGCATTGCGAGTTTGGCAGCGATCAGCGAGGCTCGCCTCCTTGTGTTTCGCTGTGCGATGATGATGATCCTTAGGGTTGAACAGTAGAATGCATCGGGGCAATTCAGTGATTCGAAACTTTTCTCGGTTGTATATTCTTCTGTTCATGTTCCTACAGGAATTAGATCTTATCGAGAACCAACAAAAGGAATTAGAAAACTTGTTAGAACCTCTGGAGCGGGCCGCGAACGAGCTTCCACCTGGCCAGCTTCATTCTGATTTCGAGCGTGAAGCGATCTTCCAGCTGGCTTCTAACGTGGATCTCGAACTGGGTCAGCTGTTATCCGATCTGAGGGAAATAGCCGATCAAGTGAACTCGAACACTGCTCGTCTGGGGCTTTCTGGAGACTCAAGTACAACAGAGAGTGGAACGAAAGATAACGCTGCCAAACTGATCAAATCGTTTAATCAGTCTGGAGACGGTTCGGGCGCGATACAACAATTAACACGCATTTTGAATTGTCATATGCATTCTTTGAACTGGATTCATCATAACAGTCGTAAGTGCATTCGCGTTTTCGTATTCCCTGCTCGTTTATCCTTCCGTACTCATTAACTGAGATAAATATAGTCTGCTTTTTCTCCACTATAAAGTTCAGTTCATTTTAGTTATTACACCCATTAACCTTGCACCATTGTGCGGTGGTTTTGTTTGCTATCTTATGACTACTCATTTAGATAAAAGAACAGAAGGAAGATTCGAGTGTTGAGAGTGGAGTTATAGTGAGAGAGATCATGTAATTCAAGGATAAGGCATTCAGCCATATCATTCACTGTCCCCAACCACCGGTTACGAATATCCCTAACGGGACATATGTGGCCCAGTGTTAGCGTTTTTATACCCTCATGCCGGGTCTTATTTTTGTTCACACTTACGATTTTGTATTTGTATAACTTGTGTAAGCCCATATGCTAACACTTCAGTTAAAAATGGCCCTTTTCCACCCACTATCTACATCGGTAAACGTCGTGCGCCGTGGCAACCTATCAGGTGACATGCGTAACACATCCCCCAACCAGCATAATCTGTGGAAGTCGACCACTTGCTCCAGTGGACGATCGCGATTAGCTAACGCTGTCTTACCTCAGCACTGCTCGTCCGGTTACCCCACCAGACTCGTTCAATGCGGCGTAGACTGCAGTGTTGCCGCAGCAACAGTTTTTCTTCATCCTGTTCCCGTAATGGCCAAATATCTGTACCGTAATGCAACACTGGCCGAACTGCTGCAGCATACCTGACCCTTTACGGACAATCTGATGTTGTGACGGTGCCACAGATGTCCTAAGTTGGCAAATGCTAACTAAGCCTTCTGTATGCATGCCAACACTTCATCTGTGATGTGTCCGCTAGGTGAGATGTAGCTACCCGGATAGCAAAATTTCTCGATTTCCTTCACTGCTTCCTCAGTTGAAGTGAGGTTGTGGGCTGGGCCAACCCAATCTTGTAACAAATTTGAAGGTGCTAAATGCAAGCCAGATATGGCTAGCACACAGATCATCTAGAAAAGCTCGCAACTTATCCGTATCTTCACTTAGAAGTGCAACGTTGTTGGCATACTCCAGGTCAGACAGTCGGCCACCTGGGCGCAAATTGATGTCACTATCCTCGCGCGAGGACAGGGCCGCTTTCAGAATCAGATCCATTACATGGTTGAATAGAAAAGAAGATAAAAGGTAACCTTGACGAACACTGCTTTCCGTGGTGGACTCTGGTGAAAAAGTACCGTAAGCTCGAACTCGGATTCGGCTATCTGTATAAAGCGATCCTAATAATAAAATAAACTTCTCGGGTACACCCTTCAGGGAGAGGCGATGTCAGAGTTTAGAGCGGTCAACTGAGTCAAAAGCTGCTTTCAGATCGAGTAAGATGGAAATAATGAGTCTACGAAAGGGATGTCTGTGTTCTTCAATTTCGTAAAGAGGGGAAATATGGTTAATACAGCCTCCATCTGGTGTTAAACTAGTCTGGTCTCACGCGTGCATCAGACAATCGAGAAATCTGGAGACAATGTTGATTGAACTAATTTCCTTTGTGGTTTTTACATCAAAACCTATTATTTTTCTTATAAATCGGTATGATAGCCAATTCACATCATATTGAACTCACGAGTTTCGTGAACTCCAAAACCAAGGCTGGACCTGCATCCTAAGCTGCCGATAGAAACAGCCCCTTTGGGCCTGGGCTTTATGCCTTTTGAGATAACTTATTTTCCGGGAAACCTCTATTTCAGGTTGAAGACTGGCATCAACTTAGAGTATTTGCCCAGTCGAGTTGGGGGTTGATATGTTTAAAGTCGATGGGGGCCAGTTGATCTGTACCTTAAAATATCTTACCCACTGTTCAAGGTGGCATTGCTGAATATGAATCAATGTGTCGTCAGACTCCTTAATTTTCACACGCGTACTTTTCTTGAGCCCACACTCCTAATTAGAGGAAAAATTCGCGACCATTACCGATAGCTTTAGCTTTTTTATCTCTATACACCCACCACTTCTCGCGGGCATTCCTCAGACTCTTGATGAGCTGATGTTTAAGGTATTTACGCACTGTCAAATTCGGCATCAGAGGAATTGCCCTGCTAGCGTTCAGCAGGACAACTGAAGCCGGGGAGATCCATCATTTGTGCATTGATCGTTCCTTATAATCCATCGTTGTTCTGATTGGCATTCGGATGGCTCTCTTGATTTAACGTCCAGTGTTCATGAAGCGCTTCTGCTGGTGGTTGGACTGATAACCGATCGAAGAGTTCCGTTTCGAATGCCTATTTACAACACTTGCTTCCATTGTATTGTGGGCATATACAATCAGGATATTTTAACAAACACGGCTTTTCGACGTGCTTGGCAAGCATTTTATTTTAAAAGTTTTTTTTCAATCAAAGAAGATCACTGCATTTCGAACCCATCTTACTATGGTCATCTTGGTCTGTCTCGAGAAGGTATGATGTATCGTGAATGAGGACTGAACCCAAAGTGTCTTGCTGCTCTTTCCCTTTCGGTGATTAACAACAATAACATCGCATTTCTATCCAACCTTGCCGACAAAAGATAAATGCACTACCCTTTTCGCTCTGGATATCAGATGCGGGACCACTTTGAGAGTCACTCAATGCCCGAGTACCGATGACGTCCAGCCTTTCATCCGAGGCTTCCTCTTACGCCACGAATAATTGTTGTTACCAAGTCGTTTCCTTCACACGGTCAAACAGGAATGTACATTCGACTGAGTGATATTTACTTCCTCTGAAATCGCACATAGTATGCTTCACGCTATTTGCGTTGGATAGCCGATACCTTGTTTTCGGGTTCAACCGATAGAATTTGCGATGCTCAAATCGCAATAACTGTTTCCACAGGCGCGTTATCGCTGTCGTAAGCGGTAAATTTCAGCAGACCGCAGACTTGGAGACGAGGCATGAGCAAATGCACAGAGCTATTAAGTAGACTGGGTATCACGCACCTGGGTTGGGTTCCAACCAACTGGTTGATTGGAGACATTGAAGAATATGGCAGCGAACCGACAGCAGTGGCCTTCTTGTGGTCATTTCTGTTCAGGTCAGAATGTTTGAAACGGTATGTATGCAAAGTTCGACTGTGTACTCACTGTGTATTGACCACAGAGGTTCACCTTCTTCTCCCTCCCTCAAAATAGGTCCAATTCCTGTCCACCTTAAATTTTACCACTAACCTTGTATGCATTCCGAGTTTGACAGCGATCAGTGAAGTTCGCCTCACTGTATTTCGCTGTACGATAATGCTGATGCCGAGACCAATTTTAACGTATAGTTTATAAAACGAATGAGCAGCTCATCCCGTGAACAGGAAATAAATTTCACTTCAGTCTACCATATCATATTCGCCGCACCGATTGATCTGTGAAACCGAGAATTCTAGTCACGATTTACGTTCCGATCTGTTCAGCCTATCCAAACGCCTGAAATTCCTCCATAGTACCTACGTTGGGTTAGATAGTTTGATTATCAGGATAGTCCAAAACTACCCCTCCCCCTCCTGCCATCTCCCTTTGCCCATTATTGTTGTTTGATGCGGGACTCGGGCGCTTGTGTTCAGATCTGTAACGCAAAGCGCGTGTGGGCGTTGTACGGGAACAGTTCTATCATGTTGTCTACTGTTGTTCTCATTTCAGAGGAGCTGATGGAACGCCTCAAAGTGTTGGAAGCCAGTCAGACAATGTGAACAGGCAGAGCATCTTCAAACTTTTCATGATTGTTGATGTACTTATTCTTTTGGATTACAATACATGTTCTATTCCCTGAAAGTCTGTCTTCTGTCTTTCTCCACACCGATTTGTTTGTGCCCCCTTCAGCTATGAGAACACTAGCGGTTGTTAAGTGGTCCGCGTTACGAAGTAGCTCGTTGCTAAGCCTTTCATTCACCGGGATGTTGCCGATTAAGTAAGGACCGTAAAATTCATGTTTCGTGTGAAGACTGCCGTCATCTTTCTGTAATAGTATAGTAATAGTAGTAGTAGTAGTAGTAGTACAGTAATAATAGAGCTAATTACTGTACACAAAACGGTTTTTACATGTTTGTGTCTTCCAAAAGTATAGTAATTTTTTGTTGTAGATAATGTTGAAACAACCGGGCACTGTTTCAGGTTCATTTGACCACCATCGCCTACCTACTCTTAGCAGAGCTTTTCGGCTTCTCTAACTGTGACACTCGGAGATTAGACGGGGGTTAGAGGCTGCAACAGAAGATGTCGGGCAGCGATGATCAAGCACTACACTGCACTACAGGTTGGTGTCACACCACCGTGGAGCTCATTTGATCGCATCCTACGACTGCTGCCTAGTTTTCTCATTTTCCTGCAGTCTGTGATAGCTCTGTACATGACCGTTTTCCTTCTG